CCAGTGAGCTTTATGCCAGAAATTAGTTTTAATTCATGCATTAATCATTAATTAAATCAGTTCGGTAATTAAATAACCCTCCCCACAAAGGTCAAAAGATCTGAATTCAACACATAATTCCCAACTCCAAAGAAGTATTCCCAAAACAGCTGCAGCATGATGCTCAAAGCTTTCTACTCTACACCCTTCCTCTCCTACTCAATCTCAGAATTTCAACCAGAATCCAACACAAGCAAAATTTCAGTTTAACCACCAAAATAAAGAGACTGACCCATTCCAAAGGTCATATATGCATTTCACATCATCCAAATAAAATGTACTGCCAGTCTTTGGAGAACAGGCTAAAACTTGAGGATTCTACAGCTCTAAGGAACAGCCCCCAGCTTTTAAAATTGCAGATCAAGCTTTCATTGGTTATAAGGAGCAATGCAAATGGATCACTTCCTCATCAACTGTGGCCTCCACCAATCCACTCAGCTTAGAAGTAATGATACAGTTTTAAGAAGAAAAAGCAGACTACACTTAGCAGGCAATTCGAACAAAAGCACATTCCTTCCACAGAGGCATTCACAGGATGATCACCGATAGTATCTCTTATACTTTACACAACTGTTCAGTAATTCACTAAATAAAGCAAGGGGACAGGACAGTAACATCACATCCAGCATCTCTTGTGAAGAAATAAACAACATGCTGTCCTGGTTTTGAAACAAAAGGTAAATACGTTGAAGGAAGAGCAGAACACCAACTGCAGACCTGACCCTAATGTTTCCTTGGTGTGATCTGGCTCATTCCTATTCTGTATGCCTTGCAAACATCACCATTTATGTAGCGTGAATTTCTCCAGACAGTACATGGAGGCAGAGGCTATTCTACACACTCTAGTCAACAGTCTGGGAATCGTGTTTGAACAAGGCATTAAAATATTAAAGTTTCCTTTTCATATGGGTACTTGAACAGATCTTGCCACAAGTTATCTGAGCACAAACTCCTGAAGTGCTATTGGGAGGCAGTGAGCTGTCAAAATTACTAAATTTCTAGTTTTGCAGCAGATGACAGAAGAAAGATTTGCATATTTTTAAAGAAGTAAACTGGAAAAAAAAATAAGTTTGGAAAAATTTCAAGACTTCTATTTGTAAAGCAAACTCCTCAGTTTTGGATTAATTTCCATTTTTCAATCTATTTAATTTTTTAAGATTAAAACTTAAAACACCAAATTCCCCCACAGTATTTTTTTTTTTTGGCAACTGGATTTCTTAAGAACAAAAGAACCTGACAGTAGCCATTAAGCTACAGGGAAGTCTTCAAAAAAATTCAGTTTGTTTCAGCCAAAAGTTCAACTTGTTCACCCAAATTCATTCAGCTCAATACAGACTTGACATAGAACTTTACAAATTAAATCAGCATTTCCCTAAACCACATTTCCCCTCTCTTTTCTGAAATACTGCCTCAGACGCCAAGCTTAAAAAAAAAGAAATAAAGTTAGGAGAGAAATATAGATCTTCCATTTCTGGGGCATTTGATTTTTTCCATTTTCCTTCACTCAGAAGACTGCCCTTTCTGGAGAACAGCTGAATCCTGTGCAATTACTTTTACATCAATAAAAGCATTTGCATCATTTTTGGGTTTATATTATCTAGTAGAACAAGACGATACCTGCAAAAGCTAAAAACATCTGGATATGTCTATGCTTAAGGCAATTTAATACAAATACAATAGTACCTGAAGCCTCAAGTGACTGATAGAAGAAAACCCCTATGTTAAAGAAATGTGACAAATTGTCCACTACTCCGTAAAGTTTTAGTAGTTTACCTTACTTTCCCATGGGATTTTTTCAGTCATTTATAGTTCATTGCTTCGTATGGCTATAGAATCCCTGCTGTGTTAAAAAATGCCAAGTAAAATTATATCTCATTCACTGCTTTATGCTATACCTTCTTTTGTTCAGGTCCAATTAGTGAAAGCTTGTTCTTCATTTATCATACTTTTAGCTGATTACATTAGGCATTACAATAGTTCTTCAGCCTTCCTCGACAATGTTTGCACCATCAGTGTTACATTTATGGTTGAGGAGGCTCTTTCATCTTAACCTTCTATTCCAGTCAGTTCAGGGGGAAAAAGTACATACGATTACTCTTGTTCAGCTGGAAGTTCTTTGCTTGTTTTCTAATCCCAAAAATAATTCCACCAGATGTTTCAATTAAAAAAATATTTTAAAAAAATCTAAATTCTATTGATCCTTCCCCACTTTACGTATCCAAGTGTAAAGAATTAGTTTTGCAAGTTGAACTCTGAAGAAAAAAAAATAGCAATCTGAACAGTATAAAATGTCTTTCTTCTGCTTTCCCCAAAATAACAGATGTAATAAAAAGTATTGGCCAGGATTTTCAAGACCCTAGAAGCATCTATTATGACCTACTTTCCTCAACATACTCAGTATCACACAAGCAACAGGATAATCTATGGTGGTCCCAGCCTGTTTTCCCCAACCACCACAATGATTTTATTTCAGGACAGTTGTTAAAACACAGCAACTTCTCTTCCACAGCACAAAACTTCAGATATATTCCTCTCCACCCTCCTCCCACCTCCACAAAGGTAAACATAATCCAACCCCATTTAATACCATTTCCAGCTATGTCTAACTTTGTATTAATACACAAGCACCCAAAAGTCTGAAGTCACCCACCTCCTTTTAAGTTTTGTTAACGTTCACCTCCTTATCATCTTAACTTTAACCTACAGAAAACCTTAAGATCTTCGGCCATTTTTAAAATTAAGAGCATAAAGCAGTATTTTGTTCTTTCCGTTTTTCCTTTTCAGGTAAGCTTTATTTGGCTCTCAGCAGGTTGTTCAATTTCACATTCCCAATTTCATAAAATGGCTAGGACTAGGGAATTTCCCCCTTAAAAGTTTAGTGAACACATTCAAAGAACCCTGCTTCAGCTCAATTTCAGTTCTGTTCTCAACCACTATGACACAGAAAAGTCAGAGAGATGTAAAAGACTGTCAGGTTTATCCTCCTTTCACAGTTGTATTTGTAAAAATGAATTAGTATTAAGAGTATCAGGCTACCCATATTTCAGCAAGTAGCTATGCAGATGACAGGTAATGTGATAATGAACTATTACTATATCTCAAAGGTTACTCTATATTCTAAACAGAAAACTTATCTACTCCAACTATTTCTAAACAATGTAAATATTTTTTTTAAGCCATCCCTACTTACCCTAGTCACTTAAAACCAGGTCCCACTATTTTTAGTAAAGCCAGACAGCTTTGGGATGGGCAACTAGTTCAACTGCATACCCTTACATTTATTTCTGCCTTTGGTTCAATGACCATCATCAGGGCAGCCGTCTATGATATTCATTGCCTTTGTGATACAAGTCTTGAAGGAGAGATATTGCTCAATCCTGTCAAGCACAAAATCACAAAGCTATCACAACTTTATTGCAGCATCCCAGCACTAAGCAAAGAGTTTATCTTAGCTGCATGAGGACAGAGGTTCCTTTGACAGGTTGCACCAGCTCCCAAGTTGGATTTCAGAGCGACCAAGATTTTGCTACCAATGGTATAACCAATAAGGTAGCTGCTGATGGAACCTGAACACAAATGAACACCACACGGCAAGCATGTTACTTTATGGAAAGTAACACAGTTGAAGAATTTGGCCTCTGGACTCATCTACCAAGATCATCCAAACAGGTAGTCACATGCATGACTGCAATGGCCAGGTCATTCCCCACAATGAATAACTGGAGGTATCCAAGCCATTAAGGCAGATGACATTAGTTAAATTATTTCCCAGTGCAAGCACCCAAACCATGATTAAAGAATGTATGGTAGATGAAAACAACTTATATTTAGGCAAAAAAAACCTAGCTCAGACTTAATACCACTACCCTATTTTAAGCACACAAAACAGTGTTTCAAGTAGCCTCTCATTTCCTTTTAAATACTTGGAACTTCTTCAGTGCACACAGCTAATGCTTAACCTTGTATGGATAGGTTTGATGGATCTTTAAGTAATGATCCAAAGAGCTAAGCAGACACTATCCACCCTTACAACCTTTTAGAGCATCATCTCTAGTCCTTGAGCTCAAAATGTCAGCATCTCATTTAACACGCTTAATGCTACCTTCATGAAATATTACATTAATGCATTTCTAAGACACCAGCTTAGATTTCCTTTCTTTTACAAACTATTACAAATTAAAGACCAGTTTAAAGCTAAGACAGCACTATAGATTGAAGCACAGACATTCTCTATTTCCACTTTGTAATTCACTATTTGTACTCCCTTCCCTAAGGTCATGAGTTTTACTTTCATGTGTCATTCTTGCTCCCTCATTACATTCTTCAATCTTGATTTTCATTCACTACTTTAAGATTTTTTTTCATAGGCTCCAGCTTATAGTAGACTCCACAGAATAAACAAAACCATTCAGACACATTGGAGAGAAAACCAATTCATTTTCTCAAATCTATTACAGACTAGTGAAAGAACATGTTTTCTTTTTTTAAAACAGCTTTTTTTAGTGTATTTTCAGAATGACTTCATGCTAGTGAACAAGGCTGCTCGATGCTCCCAAAGAACAAATCCATTTATCCTAACAGAAAACACCATACACATAGGATGGAATAGAAATATCCATCAGCATCCTTCAGTTTTAGCAGACATCATGTACACAAAAAAAATTTAGGTTCCACTGCCACTCTTACACTTGGTGCACGTATCTACTAGGTGTTACTGCCCAGCTTAATCCAGGAAAATAGCAAGGTTAACATCTACACGAGCTAAAACACAGTTTTCACTAAAAAAGAAAACAAACCATACTAAATACTTGTCCAATCCTCTCTACCCTCCCCTTCAAGCACATGGAGGAAAATGACATACGCAAAGATACTTCAGAATTGCCAACATTCCCACAACTAGTAATCAAGAAGATTGAGTTACTAAGAAACCCGTCTGCTATTTGAATTCAAGTAGTACTTACAGCATTGGCATCAACATCACTGTGTATGGCAACTGTTTTAATCCCCATCTTCTTACATGTTTTGATGACCTACCATATAAAAGATGACAATTATCAATACTGAAAACAGCAATAGTTTAAGAATTAACTACAAAGAAAAAAAAAAAACTTTAAGATTACATACTTACTCGGCATGCGATCTCTCCTCTGTTGGCAATAAGAAGTTTTTCAAAAGTCTGAAGGGAAAAGAATAATAAGAATCTTGAAGGATGAACAAAACAAGTTTTCTTCCTTCCAGAAATATGCATTTCTCCTCCACTACCACTATAAACCCGGCTTATCCATGAGCTTGTAACTAACTCTGAGATCACCTAATTTTAAAAGGGTTCTGCTGATTTAACAATGATGATACAGCATATAAACAGTATCTTATACTAGATCTATCTAGCACTTACACATGAGCAGAAGAAAAAGGTGTTCACTGCTCACACACCAGCATTCACTGGCTCTCCTTACCACACGCTATGCAGAAACTAGAACTCTATAGAGGTTCTAGGAGCCAGTCAAGTCCAAGAAAGAGACACACTGACGGGTATATTAGTCAGTACCTCCAACCATCAGATGACCCAGAATACAATACTCATCTCCTGTGGGAGATCTTTAAAACAAATTCCAATCATAAGAAGAGGTTCCTCTCTGCCTAGGTCACAGAGGGCAAAAAAGCAACATTTCCACCACCTACAGGCATGCTGGGTGAGCTGTACCAGCCTTACCCCTCCTTGCAGATGAGCCTCTTGCAAGAGGCCTGGTGAAATCCTGCACTGCCATCACCACACTGTTATACACTCAATAGTATGTAGCAACCAACACTCAACAGAACAACAAATCAAATTTACTACTCCCCTGAAATTCACTGTCACCTTTCACACTGGAATGCATTTAGATTACAAGCTGTCAGGAGGGAAGAAGCCTGACACCCTAGACAAAAAGTTCCCCATTAAAAAATAGTGGAGGAGCCCAGAGTTGCTCAGCATAAAAATCTCATTGTTGAGAGTAAGGGTTATTGCTGCCTCTGGCCTTGCCACTGAATGCCCATGTGCACTTTGATACTGCACCTGCTTGGTTGTAAATACAGACTGCCACTTTTCAGACAATCCTGGTTTACACACCCCCATTGCTTTCCACGTATCAGACCTAGCAGGGATGCAGCTTCAGGACATAGCACTTCAACGCAGTAATCGAACAGTCCTACTCTGCCTCCCATGCTCCAAATCAAAAAACTGGATAAGGAACCAGGAGGACTCTCCCCTTCAGGGGCAGCCCACAGTCATGCCAGGTCAGGTTTATCAAACTGTACCCTAAGACATTCAATAGCTATTCTCCTACACCAAACACCTGTTTTTCATATGGGCAGGAGGAGGAGAAGTACTGCTACTGCAACCATTAAACTCTATTACCCCCACAGTTCTGAGTTCATTTGGGGAGGGGAAGACAGGTGTAAGAGGAGAGGAAGGAACACTGCAAAACCCTGCTATTGACAGACTAGGGTATGTACTGTTTGCTCTCCTACTCCAAACAAACATACTCAAGATGTCCTTGACCAAATTTACTTCTTCAAAGTCATGGGTGAGCTGGCATCACACAATCAGTTTAAAAGCACTATCACATGGCAACAACATGCAGAAATTAAGGGATAAAACCCTCCAGGTAGGAGCTGCAGCAAGCTTATCTGGTAGATTCAACCTGATCTGCTGTGGAATGCACACTCCACTGCCTAGAATACAAGCATACCCACACTCCACTGCCTAGAATACAAGCATACCCACACCCCACTTAAAACATCCTTAAGCATACTACAGCACCATCACAGGACCTAACAATTTGTTTGGAGAGCTTATTTAGCTGAAGAACTGGTCTAAAAACCCAGTGAATAAAACTGAAAGGTTTCAAACACGTTCATGCAAATGGTTCCCAAAAATACATTTCAGCATTCTGGGGTACCTGAAGTTTTTAAGCAAACAGACTTGAGGGGGAATGAAATAAAGCTCCCAAATACTTGGTATTGAAAAGCTTAACAACTCAAATACTTTATCAATGTAGTTCTTGGTACAAGAGTTGTTTTATTAATCACGTATGGTCACAGTGCAAGACTAAGTATCAAGATGTTAAGAATATTTTACATTAGTTTTAATTTTCTTATTCTGCAATAAAGACACTAACAGTAAGAGACTCGACTCTTGCTCCTGCCATTAAAGACAAGTCTCAAGTCCAGCACATAAAAAAAGCACATGCTGCTTTGAAGTAAGATGCAGCATTACTTATATCATTTTGACTAATTAGCTTTAAAAGGTCTCATATCAAAGGCTGTCTTTATGAAGACAGCGGAAGGGACAGTGAATGGAAAAAGCAGAAGAGCTTAAATTATCTGTAGTAGCCACTAGTTGAAATTACATCGCTCCTAGTTAAGAGAAACTAAACACCCAATTATATTGTCCAAGCATAACTATGCCTTTAGAAAAGGAATGGGACCTTGATTAAGCAAGGACCTTAATGATTCAAATTTGTTCAGAATAGTTCTTTGCAAGAACAGTTCTAAGTACATGCTATTTCCCCCTGTTTCCTAATACTGTTTCACTCCTGGTTAATTGCTTCTACACTGGTATACGGGCAAGCCTATCAGTCCTGAACTGTCAACATTTTCACTTTTCCATACTAGTGTACCTTCAGCTACATTATTTTTCCCAATGTGTTGCTTTAGAGGCCACACCAGGACAATCTCCCACAGGAAAAGTTTTTCTTGGCTCATAACTAAACTGAGATTGCCATTGCACAAGTCCCAAGATGAGTATTTACTATTCTCTGCAGGCCTTAAAGGCCAATCTTTATGCAAGCTCTAACAGTTCTGCCACTATTGCTTACTTTTGTTTCTAGGAAAAGAAAACTAGTCTTGCTAGTCTTGCTCCTGGGCGTTTTAACAGGCTTATACCTCCCACACCACGCAAAATATTATAGTAGTTTCACAATTATAACATGTTCAGACCAGTGTGTTAACTTCCCCAATCTCAGAACCACTTATCCAACCTTTTAAAAGGTATGCACTTGAAGTATCCAATCTTGACAAGTATATTGCAAAAGCAACTTCCTTTTTAAAAAAAAAAAAAACAACCAAAAACATGCAAACATGCTATTAAGACAGTGACTGTACATCGGTTAGACTGGGAGAACTACCACTGTTAGTAGCAGCAGAGGGGAGAAGACAGCTTTAAAAGCCAAATATCAGCGATACAATAAACAAAATGTTAAAATCATGCACCATACTACATACCTTTTCATTTGGGTCATACACAGATGAATACAGTTTATGTGAAGTTATAAGGCACCATCTTGAACACAGTGTTTCACACTACAGAAGAAAAGAGGGAGTTAAAGGTTTTTCTCTGCTACAGTACTCCAGTAAGATAAAAACAGTTCATATACTGACATCTTGAGGAAACTCTTTCATATCCTTTCATTCCCCCACAAAGTAGATGAAAGCTTACAGATCTGTCCTCCCCCAAGCACACATCCAACAAACAGGTACCAGAAACAATTCAGAAGCTCTAGACAGAGTCATGAGCTTAGATATAAATCATTTTTTAATAAGCCCTCCACTACATCATCTTCTTTCCTTCTTGTTCCAAGAAATACCTAATAAGTAGTTTTCAAAAGAGCACGTGCACGCGAGTGTACACACCGGGGATAGGGAGAAGCCTTTGCTGGTACAGACCTGCTGGGAGTAGAGCAGGTAATGGTCTGGGCCAGTACACCAAGCAAAGTAGAATAGACTTGAGATGACAGTTCAGCTCCTAGTCTTCCCTACCAAAACCCCTGACAGTGGTCTAAGGAAGAGAGGCCTTTTTCTCCTCTCTGAGACTTTGCTCTGAGCCAGCTTCCACAAAGGCAGCTCTTACAGCCTAACAATTTATTATATGGCAGGAAAGAGCAAACTATATGTGCTATTTCAATGGATGATACCACAGACCTGCAAGTTTATCCAAAAGGAGATTGAGACAGGTACTTCTTAAGCAAGTTAATTCGACAACACAGTATCAGTTAACCATAAACAAAAAACAATCACACACATAAGTGATCCCCCACCAAAGCTGCACCAATACAGACAGCTCTGAGAGAACTAACTTGCCCACCCAGCTGGAATTAAAAAGACTGTAAAAAGCCTTAATACTGAATACTGTCTAGTAGGAAGCACAAAACACCAGTGACTGGAAACTGCCAGAAGCCAGGACCTGTCAATTCTGGCTGAAAGAACTGTTTTCAGAAGTTGCAGAAATCTAAGCAGTAGAAAGCAAAGGCTCAAAGGCAATTTGAAAAAAACAAACAAAAAAAATATATATGTGCTACAATCAAACCTACCACCACAGGTTTCTTTTGCATGGGTGTATTCTTCATCCAAGATGTGACAGCACAAGCTGTTTCAGGCATTAAAGAGGGAAGATAAAGTTAAGGACAGAATTCTGCCAGCTGCAACCACATCTACCAGCTGGTCATATCCAACATTTACAGAAGGACTGTAACACCTTCAGTGACTGTATTGCAATCTAGATCCTGTCAGAGGCAATCATAGAATGGTTTGGGTTGGAAGGAACCTTAAAAAACATATGGTTCCAACACCCCTGCCATGGGCAGCAACACCTTCCACTAGACCAGGTTGCTCAAAGCCCCATCCAGCCTGTTCCTGAACACTGCTAGGGATAGGACAACCACAGAAAAGCAAGGATAACTATAGCAGAAGCAACAGGGCATACTCTCCTACTCCAGAGTACATGCAGTTAAGCAGATTGAGTTCCTCTCAAACACTACTGACATTAGTGCTTGTGGGACCACAAATCATCTGAAGAAGGTCATAGAGAACACGCAAAAAACCCTACACCAAGTTAATATTACTCATAGAAGAAAGTACTTGTTAAGGGTCAGTGGGGCTAATCTAAATACTGCAGGTTGGGGGGGGGGGGGGGGGGGGGAGGAGGAAGGAAAGCTTCTGAACTTTCTTGTAAACAACTTTCATGCAAAGCTAGCTTTGAAGGCCTATGGAAAACTAGAAAAGTAATGCCACAGATGGAGACTGGAACAAAAGGCTATGATGGGAAAATTAGTTAGCGTCAAGCTTAGGAATTTTAGCCATGTGCTGTCTTAAAGAAAAGCTCTGTTCAAACTTTTTATACAGAAAGAAAAAAATTACAAAACAAACAAAAAGAAACAAACCAAAAAACTGTAAAAGCATTAAGCCACACTCAGTTCGGTTTTCACACTACAGATTTCACATAAAAATCTTGTAATATCCTAACCTAATTATGCACCTATGTTTAAAAACTTAACTACCTCCTCACACACACTAGAATCACTTAGAAAGCCAGGTTCAGACCTGAACTGAATACATGTGGGGTAATTTCCTAAAACAAATCAAGCATATTGCTCAACTTCAATGTGAAATTCCAACTCTAATTCACAGTTTTGGAAAGAAGAGCTTGTGGGGTTTTGTATGTATCTGTACCAATATACACTAAGGTATAAGAGCTTGCTTAATCTAGAACCCACCTCAAAAAAAAAGTTTCTTTAGAGGTATGCTCTTAGCCACTATAAGCAATCGAATAAGTACTTAAAAATAAATGGACATTTTGTAAATAATGCACAGCTAGGTTTATAGGAACACTGCTAAATTGCCATCTCCAAACCAACAGCTACTCAGGTGTCACCTACCCCTGGGCTTCCAAGCTCCTGCTACAGGTAAGTTCATTAAAAGCTACACCAAAACCTCCAAAGAATTCCCAAACCACCAACTTGGCCAAGCCAATCTAGCTCTCAAGGTACACTCTTAATTGGCTGCTGCCCCAAAACCACACATGCTTTAAGTATTACACCTTACATAAAAATTTCCTTAGAACAGAGCCCAGAGAGCTCAGCTTGACCTAGTGACTTTTGTATCTTGCAAAACTAGAAGGCAGCAGAGTCACCAGGTATAACCTATTTTTGTCATGACTTGTTACTTCAATTTGACAATGCTTTTGACTCCTGAAGGCCCAAGAACACAGACTATACATTTATTAGAGCTCCACCCCAGACTTTTCAGTTTGGCTTGGAGTTTTCCACTTCTACTTAATCCTTAAAACACAGGTAGCATCAGTACTGTATTATGGAAAAGCATCCTGCTTTATCTATTAATTGCACAATAGCCAAACTGAGCTCAAACCTGAACAGCTGTAACAGTTACAAGTTCATGTAAATCAAACTAATTTATAGAAGATTATGCTCATCGCACACCACCTCTCTGAGTTCTAGAAGAGAACCTGCCTCCAGGGCCTTAGGAAATCTCTTTGGGTGGTTTAGAGACACTGAATACACAACAGCAACATAGAAAGTAAACCTGCTATTTAGAGATGGTTTACATGCGTGTGTTTAAAAGCTTATATGACCTTCATCAAGGAAAGAAACTTCCCTATCATACTGGTCATCTTGCAAAGAACTCATTGATACTGAGCTTTACAGGCAGAAAGAGGTCTTTGTGTTGAAACAGAGAATGCAGAGTTCTAGATCACAGGTAGGAAAAGCATCATATACCAACATCTGCTTTAAGAAGTCTGATATGGGAATGAATGTATATTTTAGCAATTACTAGAAATTACAGTAAGCAATGCCCAGTAGTAACAGCTAGAACAGCATACTTTCCACTAGCCACTAGTTCTACCTCTTTTAATTGCAAACAAAAATGTAGTATAATGTTCTGCAAGATACACTGCACCATACATAGCTATTCTTTCACTCTTACCAGGTTTGAGAAACACTGGTAATTTTAAGAGGAAGAAAAAATAAATCTGTTTTTCATAACTGCCAACACAACACAAAAAAATACAAGTAAGGAAAATAATCCACTTAAGGCTACTTTTTTAAAAACTAGACCATTCCTACACTTAAGTACCTTTTGCTTCGTGCCAGTCCCAAAAGTTTGTACAGTCACACAGTGAACTGGACCAGAGAATATATCCAGCTGAGGCAATACTCACAAGGAGAGGGAAAAATGTGTTCTCAGCCACATTTCAGTCCATATCCACTTAGATATTCAAGCAGCAGCACTGGCACAAGTTGGATGGAGGCGGGAGTTCAAGAGGAACAGCCTACAATCAAAACCTACCAGATGCAAAAAGCTGGAATTGTTTCGCATGCAGGAGCTTAGACAGCTCCAGTAAAGCTAGCACCTGTGAAATAAATCACAGCACTGAAATAATCATGCAGGAATCACCAATGCAAGCATGGGACAGACCAAATAAGAAACTGAAAACATACTAAGTGTTTCAGAACAAAACTAAAATTGTTTTACTCAATGTAAACTTTAATGAACTCTTAACTTCCAGAATGAAGACTTGCCCATAGATGGCACGGCATGCTTTGCCTGCAGAATTGTATAATAGTTAGGTTTGGAAAGTACCTTAAGATCATCTTAGTTCCAGCCCCCCTGCCATGGGCAGGGATACCTCACACCAGACAACGTCGCTCAAGGCTCTGTCCAACCTGGCCTTGAACACTGCAGTGTTCAGGGATGGAGCATTTACCACTTCTTTGGGCAGCCTGTTCCAGTGCCTCACGACCCTCTCAGTAAAAAACTTCTTTCCTGTATCTAACCTGAACTTCACCTGTTTAGGTTTAAACCCATTAACCCCCATCCTATCACTACAGTCCCTAATGAAGATCCCCTCCCCAGCATCCCTATAGGCCGCCTTCAGATACTGTAAGGCTGCTATGAAGTCTCCACACAGCCTTCTCTTGTCCAGGATGAACAGCCCCAACTTCTTCACATGAGAGGTACTCCAGCCAATCAAATCTGCCAAGACAGGCAATTCAAGTGTGTGATTGTGGAGCAGAGATTTGGTAAACATCTGCTGATGCTATCAGTTCTGACCAGCTTCTGGAAAGTAATCAGTTAAAATACTTGATTTTGAAGTTGCTCCAAATTGAAGGTAGAATCCAAACAGCTGCTCCCGAGAGCAAAGAGGACATCAGAAATCTCTACCTGTGGTATACTTTAAGACTGTTTGTCAGTACTCAAATCTGTAGTTTACATACTAGAAACTCCAGAATGGTTACATTCGTGTCCTCAGAGCAGTGACCATTTTAACTCCCTACCCTAATTGCAGATGATACCAATCTTGCTATCCCATCAGCCTAGTGCTTTTGGGCTCCTAAACAATGGGAAAATCTTTTCCCTGGAATAACAGCATGTGAAAAATAATGTCACAGAAGAAAGCAAGGAGCTCCCATTGTACAGATAACTTCCATGACTAAAAAATGGTGGGTGCATAGGTAACAACTTAAAGAGCTTAGATGGGTGAGAAACTTTCCATACATTTAGTTCACTGCTTAGAAAACTGATCTACATTGATCAGCAGTATTCTTGATCTCACAATGTATACTATTTATCACCTTTTTTTTCTACATTATTTTAAGCAGTCTCACAGCTTTCTTGGACACATTTCAAGACTAAAATATCAAAAGCCATCTCATCCTCATTCTGTAGCTACAGCCTTCTTTCAACATCAGATTTCTTCTCAGCTCAAAAAATGCAAAGCATTCAGAAATTTTAGCTATATTCTAAATAGGACCAGTTCTGCATAAAGTTAAACAGAAGTGCTGGGCATCAGATTATAAAGACAACAATTAGTTAAATACAAGCTCACTGTTTTTGCCCTGTCTTTTCTCAGGTCATTTATTGATACCCACATGAGAGGGACAATAGAAGTTAAGGACAATTTATGAGGTACTGGCTGTTGCAAAAGAAAGTCAGACCTCCAAGCATATTAAAGTTTTAAGACATCAATTATATTATTCACCTATATCAGCAAGATACAAAAGAAACTATGAAAGTAATCCTCATGCTATTTTTTAAATGTTTTCCAATATACTTAAGTCTTGAAGGTGACTTTCACACACCAGTATTAAGGGATAGAAATTACTTCAATTAAGTCACAAGGGCTATTAGGTACCTATAAAGGCATTTTGTTTTACAAAGGTGTTGCTAATGTACCATTTCTATATTGTTTACACTGATGCAGTCAAATAACTGCACCACCCTTGAGATGTTAGAAAGGGGGCAAAGTAGGTCTTTGCCAGGAAGGCTCGAAAGGACTGACATCAATCTTTGCACTATTTAATGCAAAGTCTTCCACACCTATACACACACATATACACACACACGTGTATATGGCTACCAAAAATAAAGTCCTCAAACAGCACAAGCCCTCTGCTAATTCCAAATCATTGTCTCCAATCAAATTTCTTTTTCTTTGCTTTTCAAGAAGCTTCTTTGGGGTACACCTTCACAACAAAACAGGTTTGCTACACATATTTCCTAAGGAAAAATACTTCAGTAAAGCACATCCTTTTTAACTCTTTAATCCCTTCTCAGAATGCCCTGCCCATATAAACCATATATTTCGCATGATCCCTAAGGATGCGTGAAGAGTTCTTTACAGTATTGCTGTGGGGCTACGTGTTTAGGAAGAAACCTATCCCACACCCTCAGGGGTACATAGAACAAGCATTTTCTGTGTGTTGCTCTTCTCCACCAGAACTCGCAGGCCTCCACACACATCTTCCTTTGTGGGGTTGGGGATGGGGGAGAGGGGAGTATAAATTATTCCTACTGTAAACGATTAGATTATTTTGCACCACTTTTCCATGTACAAACTAGCTGCAGTGTCATTCAACTGTTACACAACACTATGCTTGTTCTTACCCTAAATAATCTCTTTCATTTAACATAGCCCGTAGAAGACATAGCAGCTGCTTCAATGAAGTTACTCCACAGCTTAAGGAATAAAGCTTTATAGAAATTTACAGCCGACAGCAAATAAAAACATTAGTATAGTTCTGCAGCAGGTTGTTTCACATTTTCAGGAAGAGTAAGAGTAAAAAAACACCGCAAAGCTTTAAGCGACAGCTGAAAGATCCATGAGTATCAGGGGTAAAGGGGGAAGATACAACACAGTCCACAAAGCAGCAGCTTTTTCTTGTTAGCAGAGATTTTACCACTACAAATGGTATAAAACCACACTCTACCCTGAGGTTTTTATAAGCTCACGTTCAACAGAGGAAGAGGATAGATGGAAATTGGAAGTAGCCATGACCCCGTCCAGCAGCAGAAAATTAAGGAAAAAGGGGGGAGGGGGGCTAGAAGCAGCACTTCTGGCAACACAGAGAGAGGATACACCAAGCACAGGCTCCGGCATACTGCGAGCCCTCGGCAACCCGAGCCCAGGACCCAGATTTCGCAGTTTCCCGACTACCACCACCTCCAGGGACACGGCCAGGTCCCCGCCGCCCGCCTCAGCCACCGGCCCGGGGAGCACAGGCCAGCAGCGGTCCCTCGGGAGCTGGAGGGGCAGCAGCACCTTCTCCCTTCTCCTTACACCCTGCAGCCCGTCACCGCCGCAGCAACACACCACGGCCGCACACACGCTCCCCGGCGGCCCCCCACCCAGACAGGGGCACCGCCGACAGCCCCAACCGTTTCGCGACCCCAGGAAGGACGGAACCCCCAGGTCCCACACACAGGGGACAGCACCTGCCCGGCGCTCCCCGCCGCAGCTCCTCATGAGAGAAGGGGTGACCCGGCCAGCCCTTCACACAGGGGCACCTCAACCACCACGGCGAGCGGCCTCACAGCTCAGCGCCGAGCAGGGGATAAGGAACGAAGCCGCACTCCCGGCCCTCTTTGGTAGGTCCACCCAGCGCCAACGCGGCCCTCACCCTGAGCAACGTCCAGAGCCCCCGACGGCCGCCCGCGGCCCCCCGGCGCAGCGCCGCCGCCATGTCTGTCACCGCCCTTTCACCCTCTGCGGCGCAGGGCCGGGCCGCCCGCAGCCAATCCGAACGGCCGCCTGCCGGGGGCGGGGAGGGCCGGGCCCCCCTCCGCGGGTAGCGGCAGCCGCCGGCCGAGCTTACTCGGGGCTGTGTGCCGGGCAGTGGGATATGTGCCGCGGCCTGCAGCAGGCCGTGCTCTTGTCTGTGCCAGCAGCGCAGGCATACCGCTGTGGAGAGAAAGGATCTATTAATCCACCGGGTTTCCCTGGAAAGCCCTGAGATTTTCCCTGGGAAGGCTGGCTGTGCCAGCAGACCAGACCCAGGCTCCGCTATGAAACGCAAGCGAGGTTGGCATGGGGAGGGGCAGGAGAGGGACGCTGCTAATCCTCGATTTCCGAACATCTGCGGAATTACTGCTCGGCTCCCTTGTACATGATACTCTGAGTCAGCCTGTTGTGAAATGACCTGTGCAGCTGGGCTTGGATTCACTGCCGCAGTTACCCTGGATCTCAGCTGATGGAAGTGCCAATCCTCATGTCACTCGTCATCCCTGGAAATGCTATGACTGTTTTACTGTGAGGAGAATTTATAAGAAGCATCACTTGTAACCATCTCCAGGTTTTGTTGTCATACAAAAAGCATAAAGCTGCCCACAACACTGAAGCATAGAAAAGATGTGCTCCAAGGTGTTTGAATCAGTGTTCACAAGGCAAAGGAACAACTGTTTTTTCTTCAGATAGTGTTACTAAAACAATGGTAATGTGGGAAAGGAGGGTAAACCTGAACCTACTCTTTAACTCTTTATTCTCATTACAGTAGCAGAGAAAAGCTATGGTTTGTGAAGCTGAAAGACAATTATTATTAGCTAATGAAAGGAACTATGTTGTAGATAGATTGCAGTTCATCCAAGACATGCTTTGTCACAAAATCCCAATACAGCTAGAAGACAACAACAAAAAAAAAAAATTACATCCATAGGGAAAACATGTATGTGCAACATACATAGTTATATTAGGAATAAGGCCCTCAGGCTTTAGACACAAGTTTGGTCCTCAAGCAGGGTAAGAGGACATTTCCTATACAGTCAGATGATTGTGTAACTGCAGTAACCATTGTTAGAGAGTTTTCATCAGCGCGCATTACTCCCTCAACTCACACACTACATCAACCCTTACATTTTTATCCCATACCTTTATAGTCCTCAGTAAATTCTCTCAGGCTCCACAGGCATTCACATCCTGCAGGAAGAACCAGGATGTCCCAGAACAGCTGGCATGCTTCAGGGAGGCCCTGGAGGAAGAGAAAAACTTCTGATCAACTGGGCTCACCCAGACATGGGAATTTTTGTAGGACTCTAGCTGCATGGTCCCCTCAGTGGAATACAAGTTCCTACTTGCATTTAAACATTATATTGAGTTTTTTGGCCTAGTTTTATTGGGTTTGACATCACTTTTTAAACTTTCTGTGTCAGTATTTATGTTCAAAGTGAAGAGGCAAAAGCTGTGACAGAAAGGAGAACACTGGGCTCATCTCTGCTGCATGCTGAAGGTATTTGAAAAGACTTCTCTCCCTTTCCTCCCAAGTGAGTAACAAAAATAAAATCCAGATTGGATTGCCTGTGTTGCATGTTTATGCATTTGCTGTGTATTAACACTGCGTATTAACAGTGCCTACAACTGCACAGATGGGAGCAATGCAAGAAAACTGTTCTTTGCAATTGATAGTCACAAGCAGACACCAGAGATTTTTTTTCAGAACACATGGAGAGTCTTGAAAATAAAAAGAGACCAAGAGCAAAGGGAGGTAAAGGCCACATTGTCCTTCACCACAGGCTCTGCGTTAGATATATTAGATGCACAGAGATACACACCACAACATCATGTTATTGGATTAGAACAATATCCTGAGGCGCTTGACGTCAGTTCCTCCTGCATGCATAAAGCAAACAGTCACATGGCATCACCAGGGTGTTTTCTTTTCCTCTACAGAGGAGATTCTCTTTGCAGGCCCCGGTTGAGGGATGGCAGCCACCTACAGAGGCACATCAAAGGAGGCCCCCCACAGCTGCAAAGGGAAACTGCCTGGGATTACACAGAGGCAGCGCAGCAAAGAGAAACTTCGCAGCCAGCTGGGTGCATAAAGAGCTTGATACAGTGAGAAATGGTCTAGTGCAAGCCTGTTTCCAAGTGAAGCTAAGGCTCCTCATGTGTGGAAGGGTCTGGGAAAAAAACCTCAAGCATGCTAATCTCTTTTCCATTTGTACATGAAGTCTTCTGCTTATATTTTGACTGACAGATTTTAGTAACATTCTTTTTGCTTATTCTATATTGAACTGGGTACTACACACAAAATATAAAATTTTATTTCTCTAAGAAAAGGGAGATGTCTGATGGATCAAGTTTATGCACAATTAATATTGAACATTAAAAAAAAGAAGCCAACAAAGAGAGGTTAACATATATCACCACTGGTAAAGAAGTTGTAGATATACAAAAAGTAAATTGCAAACATAAAGTATCTAGAATAATTAAAGGATATATGAGTTTGGATAAAAACAAAGACCCCAGTTTGGCATGCCTGTAAGCACATTTGTAATGCTATAACTCTCCATATATGCTTCTATCTCAATTACTAAAGCTATTAACATGCACAAAGTTAAGCAGGTTTATAAGAGACTGGAATACTGCGAAACTTATTTTTTCATTATTTTGAATGGGGAACTATAGCTTTCAATGCTGAAAATCTCCTCGAGCCCTTCTTTACAGCTGAAAGTTACCTTTGTCTTCTAATATAAATCCAAATTTACACAGGAATTTAGGCAGTTGTTGTATCATCACCTAACTTTCAAGTTGTAACCCAGGGAGCAAACTGGAGTAATTGTAATCCTTCTGCCTTTATCTGATAAGGAATATATTGTATCAGGTTTATAGAACATGAAATGCATTATGCACAAAAGCCTGTGACTGAAGAACTCAAAGCTAGGAAAACTCTTTGAAGTATCTGTTATATATTCTGTAAACAGCCTTTGCTTCTATCAGCATTCTGCTCAACGCACTGTGAGAGACAGAAATTCAGCCTTAAAGTCAGCCAAGTCAATATCTCCATACATGTCTCTGCTAAGCATCTACAGAAGACTCTTGACTGTAAGGAAAGATTCTTCATGCCAGATTCACCTAGGAGAGTCAAGAGTTGGAGGCCAGGGGGTTATCAAACACCCCAGGGAAGCCACAAAGCCCAGTCACAAACACTTGGAAGCCAAAATGGAGCCCAACCTACCAGCTCCCTACTCCTCAGGGTCATCTTGATTTCAACCCCACACCCAGCTGCCCAGGCTCTGGGGCTTGTTGGGGCTCCTTGGGGGTGGCAGGAACACCACTTCACTTCTAAAGCTCATCAGAGGTGACCCTACCTCATACACACACACTTCATCTTGGCCTCTTGGCCTCAAGGGGTATTTGAAGCCCATACATGCCATATGTCCTCTGTTCCTCTAGGACCATGAACCTCCTAGTCAGCATCATTCATCTTCCCCAGCCATCAGGTCTCCTCAGAAAAGTCCTGAGCCTCCCTGGCCTCAGGAACAACCCAAGCACCCCAGCCCATTCTTAAGCACGGCTTGAACTCATCCTCTACCTGGTTTGAGGCGTGGCTTAGTCACCAAGCCAGGCTGGCTTGCTCTGGGACATTGTGATCCCCTTGACTCCCAGGGACAGCCTGACCCACTGCAACTGCACAGCCTTTGAGGTTGCTTTGGGACAGCCTGAACCACTCAGGCTGTTGTGGCTGCTCAGGGAGGGCTTGAAATCCCCAGGTTTCTGTGGTTTCTCATTGGTGCCACCTCAGCCCCTCTGACCACCAGCTTCCAGTGCTCCCCAACTTCCTAGGCAGCTCAGGGACATCCTGAGCCCCTGGCCTCATGGATACATTGATCCCCATCCTGAGGATGCCTCCTCTGAAATGCCTTGATTTCTCCACTGCCCAGCCCCACAGGGTCCACCAGGGACACTGGATTCTGATTCCTCTCACCAAATGACCTTTAGGGTGACTTGAAACCCCTCCAGCGTTCATGATCTCCTCATAAGAAGTCTCTGAACCTACACCCACCACCACAGAGCTTCATGGGTGATTTAAACTCAGGCTTGAGTTTAAATGGACATCCCTGGGCATGGGCAGAAGATGTGGGTGGAAGCCCCAGGTGAGGCTGCTCAAGGCCCTTAAGGTCTGTTGATGGACTCAGTGCCCCAACACCCTGGCAAAATTGCTCACTGCAACCCAGGTCTGACTGGGGAAACTTGCAGGAGTCTTGCATTAGCAGACCAAGAGTCCTTTTGTTTTGGGGACTATCTCTGGCTTCCTCTAGTCTGATTATTTTGGTCAGACACAACTTTCAACTTTTTCACAACCTCAGGATGTTAAAAGCCTTTTGACAGAAGCAGGTTATAAAAACTAGGAGTTAAGCACTGTCTGCCCCAGAGCTAGCTGGAGTATGCAGACAGTCTGCGGCAGGGAGGGCAGAAGACTGGGAAGCAGAACAACTTGTAGAGCGTTTTGAACAACCTGTGAGATGCCAGCCCTAAGTGGCAGTAGTTAACAGGGAGGGCACGTGCACATTGTGGGAATGCATCGCACTTGGATGTGATGAAGTGATACTGCTTAATGAAATTTCTCATGCGATTAGCACAGGAATCACAACTGCTTTGACACCATGGACTGATATCTCTGTGGGAATTATGTTTTTCCTGTGATTGCATGGACTGAAGGGTTCTGCAGGACTGCATCGAAGTGGCAGAGATCCAGACAACCAGAGAGAGTTCTGCAGGGAGGAAAAGGATGAGAACATGAAATTCACAGAGGGAGTGAAAAAAGAACCCAAAAATAAATTCCAGTGTAGCCTGCCTAAAGAAATGCTGAAAGAGGACTCAGATTGCACCAATATAAAGGTCTTACTTCCTTCTCAAGAACTTTGGGAACAAGGGTGTTACAGAGCCAGGTAAGCATGATGGCTCCACAGGTCTGAGCAAATATAAACTCACAGTTGTTCATCCCATTGCACAGAAGTTAGCTTTGACTTGGAGCC